TAGTACAGTGGCGATTGTTTTGGATGAGTTTAGAGAAGGCAGCCCTGTGTATTTTGAGTAAATGATACGTTACAGGGAAGGGATGTTCACACTTCTGTGTAACAGAATATAATTGATTTTGTGCTTGGATAATTAGGAAATGGTTCTGTTTGATGTGTTCAAGAGTCCTGAATTAAAAATTTAAAGTTTGCTAACTGCTAGAAGCATTGATTCAGAAACAGCTTTAATGGATGTAGAAACAGCATGCTATTGCAGATACGGTCTCCCATCTAATACTGTGCTAATGCAGAGTAGTCATCTAGGCTACTTGGGTATCTTAATATCCTTGGCCATTTTAATTCCGAAATCAACACAATAATACAGACAGCTTGGAAAAAAGTGCACATTTTGGAACAAGAAATATTAAAAATTTGTTTTTCAAAGATTTTGACAGGTAGATGTAATTATGTGTCAAGGCAAATGTGTCATGGGGAGGGAAGGCAAAAATCTTAGAAGGCATGCAAGATTCATGGAAAATGCAAGAAAATAAATTCTGCACCGCTATGGATTAATCTTTTTTTTAAGTATTCAAATTCACACCCTATGCAGCATTACAAATATTTGTGAGTATAAATACTTCCTAAATAAATAAGTGCAGCTAAGATCATAACTTTATTAGTTCAGATTTTTTTATTTATTTCTTAATTTTGAAAGGTGCTGGGCAGCACTTTAAAATCCTTAATTTTGTCATTTGAAAATCAAGCTCCAGGTTGTCAGTCTCTTCTAATAGACATGTTTTGTGTTCAGCCTTTTCATCACTCTTGTAGACAGAATTACTCAAATAATCCAGCCATCTAGATACTTTACCTCCGACACTGTGTGTTGCTCGCTGTTCTTGGATGCTAAAAGCATAATAAGGATTACAGCGGTAGCAGATGGGCTGAATTGATTTATAGCGATATAGCCTTGCCAGCGTTTGCAATCTCATTGTGAGTATTGCGATAGTTGATGCATATCTTCAACTCCCATCTTTCAGAGCTGTGCGAAAACTTGCCTGGCTTTCTTCATGGAAACCGTACGGCAGCACTCTTGCCTGTCCTTATTTTGGTAAAGAAAGACTGTTTCTGGCTTTCCTGGTTGTGCAAAGAGACTGCTGGCATAGCCCAGCTGTACAACGAATGTTAAATAAATAAACGAAGAGGACAACTTCTGTTTACTTTTTACATCGCTGACCTTATAATCGGGAATGTTTTGCGCAGGATAGAGCTAACTTTGGCTGACGCAGGCTAATTCCCTGGGCGCTCAATGGAGAATGAAAGCTTCATTCAGCTGCTTTGAATCATCTCGCGACAGAGACCCCCCACGAGCCAGCGGGGGCTGCGTTTCGGTAACCTGAGGACGAGCTGGGGTGGGAGGTGTGTGTGTACGAGTGGTGAACGGCCCCCACAAAATGCCTTAGCTGAGTGCTATCTTCAGTTTGTGTTTGCAGTTTCCAGTATTTTACTAAATCTGTAGCAGGATTATTTACAAAATGATGTTATCATCAAATACATAAATATTATGATTGTAGAACAGAAAGAGGGAAAGAAATTTTCAGAGCTGTGCATGTTGGTCCTGTGTGTCTCTTCTGTGCTGTATTTCGTAACAGAACAGAAATCCTCAAATTTGGGTGTCACTCTAAAAGATTCTTTATACACAGCTCTTCTCCCAACTTTCCATCTGCATATCTGCTTTTCCCACTGACCCATGAACATGCCCTTTGCCTTGATTAGATGATAAAATATTCTGTTTCTGCTGTGGAAGGATAAAACGTGCAACCTGAAACACCCTGAAATCTGGAAATTCATAACAGACAGCTGGATTTTGAAGCTGTGGCCATTCCCAAACCTACTGGTGCATGGGAGCGACCCTCTTCGCTAATTCTGTCCCTCTGCAGGTGGCTTGGAGGCTGCAGCTTCTCCTTACGGCATTTGTTTTTCTGCAGGTAAGGCTCCCTGCAGCCCCCCAGCCCTCCCCGCTGCTGGCTTGCAGTCCAGGGATGAAGCCGGCAGGCGCAGGGAGCAGAGCGCTGCCCCGCTCCACAGCAGGACCTGAAAGCTGTTGGCCTGAGCCGGCTGGCGGCAGCCCACCGTGCAGCTGCGCAGGGCGCTCCTGCCCTTGCCTTCCCCGTGCCCAGCCGCAGAGCCCAGAAATGATTGCAGAGCTGGGGAGCAGCAAGCCCCCCAGGCGTGCCCAGCCGCAGGGTGCTCTGGCAGGGCACTACTTATGTGCTGGGGGATTTTAGAGACAGTGCTCCAAAGCTGGTCAAACTATGAGGAGGCTGAGGGAGCCTCAGGGCTTGCGGCAGCATCAAGCGAGATGGTTTCAGTGGAGAGAGGGAGCCCGTGCCCGTGTCCAGCAGGTAGCTGCCAGAGCTGGGAGCGGCTGCAGCTGGTGGGATGTGTGCGCTGCTGCGTAGGCTTGCAGCACAGCGGAATTAGATTGCTGGGAACAGGAGTCCTCTGCGGCTCCTGAGCCTGAAAACATCATATGCTGGCTGCTGGCTTTTCTTTCTATTTTAAGACCACCAGGCAGTTCTTATTTGCATGCTCTATAAAACTTTTAAAAAGAGTTTTACAGCTTACTCAGTGTACAAAAGGTATGACCAGCTATAAAATGAAACAGTTGTCAGGACCGTCTCAAGTCCTGCGCAGCACATCATATAAGCCAGGACGCTCCAGATGCCGGTGGCACAGGGTCGTGCCACGTCCCCCGGCGGTGATGACAATGTGCGCGCCAGTGTGGGATCCTCTGCTCACTGAGCCCCTTGCACCCCACGGGGCTCCTCGGTAGCTTTTGGGGGTCCTCAGGATCTCATGGGCTGGGGTTTCTGAGAGTTTCCATGTTGTTTTGACTGTACTTGCACCCTGACTCTCATCTGCAATCAAATTTACAGCAACCTGCGCTGTAAGTGCAAGTCAGAGAGTAAGCGATGGAAACCACACGGGAAAACAAAAGGCACCTCAGCTCTGAAGCACACTGGCGTCAGCTTGTGCTGGCAGGGAGTCTCGTCACTACATAATGATGCACTTATCCAAACGGCATTTTGTATTTTGGGAGACAGATGTGCCTTGCAGTTGCTAGTGGAAGTTAAATGTTAAATATGAAACCCATTCATTTTCTCTTAGTCATACTTTGGATTTAAGCAGATGTTTTCCTAATTTGTGGTTTTCAAATGTAGCATGCTGACAAGACATTTATCATTAACTACAACTTCATCCATGCAGTTTAGCAAATTGGCCAATTATTAACAGTAAGAGTTGCATGGTGGTTGATGCATAGCTCCTGCTGCTTTGAAAGGCCTAAATTGAAACTCAATACATTTTTACAATATAAATTAATTGAGCTTTGGACCACATCCCTGTTATTCGAGTGCTCTCTGCTCTCATTTTCAGAATGAACAGCGATTTGTAATGCGCTGAGGAGCTGTGTTGTCTGTGAGCAGAGGCTCCTGGTGGTGGAAAAAGTGATGGCTAATATTTTTCTGGTAGGGGCATGAAAATGGCTGATGATGGTATCCAGGCGTAGGCAGGATGCCATACAGAGGGAGCGTGGCTGCGGGACAGTGTCCGCACATGCGGGCCAGGCTGGCTCTGCCACAGATGATGCGGGAGGCATCCTGGAAGGGCGCGGGGCAGGCAGTAAAAGCAAGGTGGGTGCAGCTGCCTGGAAGCTAGCGCTGCCTAATATTTTCTATTATAACATTTCTCTTGCTTTTAACTTTGCTAGACTTTACCCATTTTGATTTATTTTTTCCTGTTTTATGTTTGCAGGGTTGACGGGGTGGGGGAGGAAGGGTTGGTGGTGGTCCTGTGAACTGGTGAGATGTCCCAAAGGTGCTTTCCAAAGTCAGGAACCACCACATGCCTGAAAATATCCTCTATTTTCCCAACTCTGGAATTCAAGCAGACAATTTAGTCATCATTTATTCATCCCATGTGCAAGACTTGAAGGAGAACACTCAGTGCTCCTCTAATTTCTAGAAAATATAAAGACCTTGATTTTCACCAGCTGGCACTGCAGAAATTTTGCCTTACATTCCAGCTGAACTGGGAAGACTCTTCGGGACGGTTTGTTCGTAGTTGCTCCAGCTTCTGGCAAATGATTCGCTTTTTTTCCTCCTCTGTATTTGCATCTGCACTACAGGGAAACTGTATACTTTGTTACAGAACAGGCTGCCATGCAGATTAATTAAATGGGAGCTGTAAACAATTAAGAAAAATACACGTGATGTATTTCATCTGGCTTTATGCAGCCAGACGTGCTAGGTGCGAAATACCTACGGGGCTGGCTTTACAGTCCCATTTGATGTCCTTTTCTTCACATCCCCCTGCTCTGTGGGAAAAGGGAGTAATGGTAGTGTCACAAAATCAGTCAGGAGCGGGGATGTCTCAGCCGAGAGATCAGAGGTTGCATAAAATGCAGAAAAGAGGGAAAAAAGTAGATTTGGGGCTGTGTTGCCACTGTTCTTGGTCTGCATTAGAGATGTGAGCCCTAAGGGTACTTAAAATGAGCTGAAGGCCTGATCCGGAGGGATGCAATGGGGGTTTTAAAGAGAGATCTTCGGCATAGTTGTCTCCCTAGTAAATTTTTGATTGAAAGGGGCGTGGCAGTGGATGTTGAAGGGAAGATGATGGGTTATGGTTGCGTTGTCAATCACCACCTTGCTTTCCCTGGGTTTAGATAAGCTAAATCTCCAGAAGCGGCTGTGTATCCTATGCCAGGCTTTAGTGGGAGCGCAGGTAGACGTTGGGCGAGCTTGGCTAACCCAGATCCTGATCCTTTGCAGCGCTGCCAAGCTCCTGGAGAAGAGTCCGTTCTCCGTCGGCGCCCCGAGCCCCCTGCTCCCCTCGCCGGCCAGCCTGCAGCTGGCGCAGCTCCAGGCACAGCTCACGCTCCACCGGCTGAAGTTGGCTCAGACCGCCGTCACCAACAACCCGGCCGCCGCCACCGTCCTCAACCAGGTGCTCTCCAAAGTGGCCATGTCCCAGCCGCTCTTCAACCAGCTGAGGCACCCCACCGTGATGAACGCCCCGCAGGGCCACGCTGCAGGGCCGACACAGGGACCCGGCATCGCCGGCACAAGGTTCGCCTCCGGCGGCATTGCCTTTCCCGCCCAGAGCCCGGCCTTAGCCACGCCGGGGGGTGGCCTGGGGCCCGTCCAAGCCCAGACCCCCAACACCATCGTCATGGGTCCCTTTGGAGGCGTCATGGCTCCCACCTCCAGCCAGCAGCCTGTGGTGGTGGGTCTCAACAAGGCGGGTGCCTCCAGCTCTGCCGCCACCGCTGCTGCCGCAGGGGGCTTCTACGAGTACAACAAGCAAAACGCCGCCACCGCCACCCCTCAGGCATATGCCTCGGAGGGGGACCAGCCCAGCCAGCATGGCTTCCTCACCGGCGGGGCCCACTCATCCTCCTCGGCGGTGGGGCCGCGCTACGAGGGCCATTTTGGTGCTCCCAGCCAGCTGCAGCACGAGGCGGCGGCCGCCTTTCCCAAGGAGGCCTACGGGGTGGCAGCGGCGGGGCAGCACCGGGCGGGGCGGGGGCTT